AATCGCCCGACTCGGTCGCCTCTGGGTGCCCACTATGGGATCGGCCGATCTCAGTTTCAGGTGATCGAGTCTGGCGATCGGCCCGATCCATCCTCGGGCGATTGGCCTTCGACCCGCCGATCCCTTCCGTAGTTTTTGTATAAAAAAACAAAAGTGTTTGTTTTCAGTTTCCGGTGACCGAGTCGGGCGATCGGCCTGATTCAGCCATAATTATGTGTCGCACCCAAGCCGCACCCCGTATAAGATTGACGAGTTCAGTTCAGTCAGGCTTCCACTGCGACCGACAAACTAACAAAATTTGGCGGACTTTTTGTTTTTGGTTGTGTTTTGGCATATTGTTGTCGTGATTGAACCTGGCAACCTTTGCACAATTGTCTCAAGCTCCGTCATTTCAGGCATTTTCTTTCTACCATCAAAATGGCGTCGACCCGGAGTGGTGGTGCGCTGAAGCGCAGAGCGAGGGAAGAATTCAACAAACATTGCATCCTTGAGCTGTCCAATGTTCCTCCAAGTACAGATGGGGTATGACTTTATTTTGCAATGTGTTTGATCTAGATCTAGGTCCTGATTGCCGATCAAAATATAGATCTACCTCCCCCCCCAACCCATGTTTTCGTCCTCTCCAGCAGGTCAACTGGCTCAGCATCATCAGTGCACAAATCGTGATGCCGTCGCCGTCGGCTGTTGACACCATCATTTGAAATTAGCCTCTAGATTCTAGTTCTAGATCTATATTCGGTTGCTGTTCTTGAAACATTTTTGGTGATCTTATACTTTAGCATGTTAAATTCTTCAATTGAGGACCTCCCAAACGAGCGACCACTACGAGCGACCACCCCATCAACAAACACAATAAAGAAGCGATCCCATAAAGAAGAGGCCTAGACCTACCCCTACCCCTACCCCTAACCCTACCCTTAACCTTACCCCTACCCCAAGCCCTCAATTCTGCTCTGTCTCATTGTGGTCGCTCGTTACGGAAGTCCTCCCTCAGATCTGGATCAAAATTCTATGAATCTATGATGTCATCAAGATTATACTCAATGGCTTCGAAAATCATGATGGAAGACTGAAAACCACTGTTATAGTTATACGATCTGTTCATGACAAAATTACGGTAGTTTGCACATTTTTAGGCTCAGTTAAAAGTTTTGAAGGTCTGAGTCGGGGATTATTCTCACCCGGTGGGCGTTCACCGTTATAGTATAGCCTAGGCCAACCAGTTTTATATTAACCCTAGAAGCGCTCAGCGTTTCACCGGAAGTAACCCGCCAAAAATGCCCGATCAGTTGTAAACATGGGGGTTTGGCGGGGGGGAAACAGCTGAGATACCCGAAATGTATACCTGCTACTGAAAAATGACCATTTACGGCTCAACAGATGATAAAAAGCATATAAAAGCATATATTTTCTTGAAGCTGATAGACTGAGCCATTCAAAAATGATCAGCCATCAAACAAATACAAACAATGCCGAGAACGCGATGGACTCAACAATTAGTACATCAGCACGGCGAAACAAGTGATAACACATAGCGTGTAGTCGCTCAGCGGGACCGCATCACTTTATCGATCGATATCTCGGCCAAGAGACGCTCTACGAGGTCAAGATAACTTGCAAAGTTATTGGTCACTATTTATAACTTTGGCCTGTAATTGACTACGTCATTTTCCATATAAGGAACACTGGAATTTTCCATTGAAAAGGGTCAGCGTCTATGCCCTTTATATAGGGCCTGCGCGCTTCCCGGTCGAAGTAGGTCAGCCCTATATATAGGGCGTGCGCGCTTCCCGGGTAGCCCGGCTCACGCCCTTTATATAGGGCCTGCGCGCTTCCAGGGTTAAGCGTTCACCCTGAACCACAGAATTCTACACTCTCTCTCTTTAGCTATCTCTATCTTATAAAACGTTCTATTACTCCTGTTAGTGTTAGCCTAAAAGCGTGCAATTTTGTCTGTGGGCAGTGGAGAGAGAGAAAGACAGAGAGAGAGGAGTAGCGCAAGAACTTCCGGGCAAAACAAAATGGCGACCTGCGTAGTTCGGCTCGATTCGGAAAGTTAAATAGCCGTAGCATCTTTGTAGACGACCTAATTAATTTACTTTTGTGTTTTAACATCATTTTTAAACTTTGTTTTGGTCAATTTGATCGTCCGCACCGATAGACAGTCTAAGACAGTATTCAGAAAGAGAGAGAGAGAGAGAAGGGGGAGGAGTAGATCTTGCGAGAACTTCCGGGCAAAACAAAATGGCGAGCTGCGTAGTTCGGCTCGATTTGAAAAGTGAAATAGCCATAGCATCTTTGAAGACGATCAAATTAGCTTACTTTTGTGCTATAACGTAATTTTTTCTTGGCTTTAATCAATTTGATCATCCACACCGATAGAAAGTATTCCGAAATGAGGAAAAACAGGTCTTGTTTCACACCGGGTGAGAATAGTCTACGCTGGCAAGTCTCACCCGGGGTGAGAGGTAGATCGTATTTCTATTCTCACCCCGGGTGAGAATAGCCACTTCCATTTTTATTAGGTGAGGGGGGCAAACCCCCCCTGAAATCCCCATCTCTTGACTAAAACGAACGAAACTACAAAATGTCTACAGCTGTTGCAAACTAGTGTTTGTAGTCTACTTTAATTAATGATAATGCTGTTTTAAAATTCATTTTGCATGTTATTATAATTGTTAGAATTTTTCTTTCATGTTTTAATTTGTCATGTAAATGATCAATTACTCTGTTTTTTACATCTTTAACTCATGAGATTGCCCTGTAAGTTAAACAATAGTCTCTTCTAATTTTATTACTACAGTTTGTTCAGCAAGTTTTTCATTATATTTTTATTGTGTTTATTTAGATCTAAATGTTCAACTTCTTCAAAGACAATTAGTTGTGAAATATGACATGTTTTTTGAGGCATGCAATTGTGTCACGATACTTATTTATTCTTTCTTTATTTCTGGCAATTGTTTAGTTCACCCAGTCTGCCAACTTGATATTGTTGTTAAATTAATACCAAATTTTTTTTCTTGTCTGCAACAAATGCTTTCTTAAGCGCTCAATTTTTTTGCAACTTTTTCGAACAAGTTTTTCTTTGAATTCGACCAACTCCGCAAGCATTTCTGGATTTTAATGTAAAGTCAGGATTTATTCTGATGAGCTGTCAATAAATCCAATGGAACAGTAGCAGGTTGTGATCAGGGGCTGTGGAAAGAAAAAAAAAGCAAAGCAATGAATTCATCAATGAAGTAAATAAATTCATTTGTGAGCAGTGGATGGAAATTTGATATTTTCACACTACAACTCTAGTAGAGGGAGGGTGTAGATGACTAGACAAGAGAAAAAACATCTAATAAACATGTATCTTAAAACAAACTGCACAAAGTAAGTGAAAATTTAAAGAGATATTTAAATAACAAGCACACACACAAAAAATTAAGAAGAAAAAATATTTAAAGACAATATAAGCACACAAAAAAGAAGTAAAAACTTGCGTGAAATCGATGGTCTAACAGTAACACAGAAACAAAACAAGGCTGTTACATTGCCCTCCCTCCACCCAATACTCCTTACTGATTGTTACATGGTGCAAATTCATGAAAATTATACAACAGTAATAGATCTACATACAGGGTTTGGTTGATTTAAATCAGTTGATTTTTTTGATTTAAATCAACTTGATTTTTAAAATAAAAATCAGTGATTTAAATCACTTAAAAATTTTTAAAATTTTTATTCAGTTTTTACATATTTCAACATTCAGAATTCCTTTCCTTGGTTTCATAAAACAGATATAAGGTTTAGTAGACTAATATATTCATGCTTAAAAGTCTGCTTTCCCTCCTTTCATTGTAAAATAATACAGTATTCAATTTACTTTTTTTTCCATAATTGAAATCAGAGCTGGGTTGATTTAAATCAGTTGATTTTTTTATATTTTAATCAACTTGATTTTAAAAATAAAAATCAGTGATTTAAATCACTTTTTAAAAAATGTATTCAGTTTTTACATATTTGAACATTCAGAATTCTTTTCCTTGGTTTCATTAAACAGATAAGGTTTAGTAGACTAATATAATCATACTTAAAAGTCTGCTTTCCCCCCTGTCACTGTAAAATAATACAGTATTCAATTGACTTTTTTTTTATAATTGAAATCAGGGTTGGGTTGATTTAAATCAGTTGATTTAAAAAAATTTAAATCAACTTGATTTTAAAAATAAAACTCAGTGATTTAAATCACTTTAAAAAATGTATTCTGTTTTTACATCTTTAAACATTCAGAATTCCTTTCCTTGGTTTTATAAAACAGATATAAGGTTTAGTAGACTAATATAACCATGCTTAAAAGTCTGCTTTTCCCCTGTCACTGTAAAATAATACAGTATTCAATTTTTTTTTTTTTCATTATTGAAATTAACATTTTCTTTTTCTTTTTAGACAAACACAAGCGCGTGCACACACACACACACTGTAATAAAATGCATGTTTGTCTATGCATAATTACCCCCCCCCCCCCCCCCCCCCCTTCCTTTTAGACAGACATTTTCTTCATTTTTTGTCTGTAGCCATAATTCACTGATATATAGTTAAAATAAAGACAATGCATTTAGCAACCAAAAATCCTAGACTGTGTCGATATTATATTTAAAAAAAAAAAAAATCCGATTTAAATTAAAAAAATCTTGATTTAAATTTTAAAAAATCGATTTTTAAAATTTTAATTTTGAAAAAAAAAAAATCACCAACCCTGTCTACATATTATATTCCAAAATTTAAAATAAATCATAATTTCTACTATAAAACATTCTTCAATGTCGTTTATGGGGTAATAAACGGCAACAGTACACGTTAACGTGAGTTAAGTTCGCTTTCCGCAATGGCCGCTATGACCTCCCGGTTCACTCTCAGCAGCGCGATCGATAATAGGTCGTGCCCATTCATAGAGAGTGACCTATTTAAATTAGGGCTCACACGCTTATGCCTCAACGTACAACATTGAAATTAACAAATAAAAGAGATAAAAGGTTGAAGAAAAGATTGTGGAGTACGTAAAAAAACAACAAAAAACTGTTTAAATATAAAGGCTTGAACTTACCTTATTTTCAACTCCTTGTAACTCCGAACCAACACAACCGATCCCGAAGTGGAAAGCTCTATAATACGCGCCTTTCTTTCCTCTAAAATTTGATAGGCGGAAGTAATCCATAAATTGAAAAGAACACTATAAACGAAACAGAACAAAAAGGTACCTACCTCCCTCACGGGGTCCGATTTCTCACACTAAACGCGGCAGCCGCCGGCGAACGAAAATCTCGGGCCGCGCGGGCCAATATCCAAGTGCCTAGTTTGTGTGTGTGAGTGTATGTGTGCGTGTCTGTGTGAGAGAGAGAGTGTGTGTGTTTGTTTTTTTTTGTTTCTTTTTAACTTCTTTTTTTTGTTGTCACAGACTCACTCTGTCGCAATTAACGCCGCATTAATTGTCACAGAGTCTCTCTATCGCAATTAACACCGCCTTAGTTGTCACAGCACCACTCTTTCGCTATTAACGCTACCTAAACTTTTGGTTCAGATTAAAACATTTTTCTAGATCTAGGCACTCTTCGGGAAGAGTGGTCCCGGCCTAACTCCACAGACATTAGATCTATAGGCCTACATTAGGCTATTTACACAATCGGAAACAAAATCCGAAGTCGCGTTAAAAGGGGGGGGTACAGGGGGAACTCCTCCCTGCCTGCGCCCCCCTCCCCCTGGCACTATCAGTAGAAAGACCCTCAGCAAGGGAGCATCAATGGACATGTCCGGAATGCAGGGATTTTGCTTCCTGGAACAATGAACAATGTCCGGGTATTCCTGCTGGGTGGATCGTTTCATTCCTTAAATATTAAATCTGATCAAATTCTTTGTTTGGTGAAGTTTGTCTTGATTAAATTAATTTGTCGTTCTCATTTAAATTAGCTAGTAATGTAGATTATGGACTATGATTTTGCTTTTCTTAACTCTATTATTCTCCTCCCATTTCAGGAAATAAAAACTTTCATGGCAGGAATCAAAGTGTCAAAAATCAAAAGAAATGAAGAAACGGGTAAGTGGGATATTTTTTTACTCCCTTAACCTTTTCAGTTGCTTTGTTATTTGATGATAAATTTATAAACCCTATTTACTCTAAAAAGGAACTAGACAAAGGCTACAAGCAAGTTCTCTTGAGGTGTCTCTCTCTTGGGGGCTCTGTTTTAGCAACAACTTCCCTTCTAATTGGTATAAAAACAACCACTGTCACAGTCCCGTAAATTCTGTGGGCCATAAGCACAGTGCTACAAGGTTCAGGCCCTTAAATTCCTTGGGCACGGCATCAAAGAGGTTAAATACTTACTATACATGAGATGTCTCTGATTCAGGCCTATCTTTTCAGTTTAAACAATGTCATTCCAAGTCTCCCTTAGACAGCCTTCAAGGCTCTTTACCATTTCTTGGGTTGGCCTCCTTTTCTCATTTCTGAGCGTCCCTAGTTCAGCACTCGTCTTGTGACAGTTGTTGAGATCATATTTGGTATTCAGAGGGCAAAGGAAATGGTACTATTTTTTTCCTCTATAAATCTTTTGTAAAAAGATTTATATATTATTCTGACTTACGATTGGGTTCTGTACATTGATAAATACTACAAAAAAAGGTTTTGTTGTAATTACTGGTGGAGATATGTTTAGTGAAGTGAATAATACAAAATTCATTTTTGTGAGACATACTTCTGTCAAATAAAGTAATCCTCTTGACTTTTCAGTGTTGTTCCAGTGTTACGCTATGTGTTAAGAATTTGAACGATAGGTAGGAAAAAAGGGAACAAGGGTGACGACTCCTGGTTTTGTTAAGCGAGTATGTACCATTATTGATAGATTATTTGTGCTGAACGCTGTAAAGTCTTAAAAGGCTTTGGTCCAATTTGTACATGTCATTACTCTTATAAAGAAGAAGAGACAAGGTAATTGTTTGATCATTGAACTGAAGTTAAGACAAGAGACCAGCAACATAGACTACTTTAGTTGTATTTTAATTACACGTTTTTATTTTTCAGCTCTTGTCACCTTGGTCCAAGGGGAACAGTTAGAACAAGCCGTTGAGAAGTTGAATGAAAAGCAGATGAAGGACAACACTGTGGCTGTGAAACCAGGATGCAGTGGTAAAACCATTTGCGTGGCTCATATCCCCCTGACCTACACTGAAGACATGTTCCGTGTCTTGTGTGAGAAATATGGAACTGTGGAATTTTCTTATATCATGCGGTCTGAAGAGACAGGTATTGTTGAATTCAATTCCTATTGGTAAAAATGAGTAGTTGTTTCAGTTTTTAAACATTTTAAGTTCTATCTTGACTCTCTGTTCAATGCAACATTTAATGAGTTATTTTCTTCGAACATGTGTATATATAGATTTTATAATATCTTTTTAAAAGCTAGGTTCCTTACAGGTGCTGATAACTAAAAGTGTAATTTTTTTTTTTTTTTAAATATGTTAATGACAGTGTCCTTGTACATTTTCACTTTTGGTTTTGTTCTTGGAGTAGCAATTTCATTGTATATGTTGTTATTGACTTAACATTTGTTACATCTATTATGCATTGTTGGGTATGTTGGTCATGAATGTGTAAAGTCCTTTGGGTTATTCCTTTATCCCTTAGGGTTAAGGGTAAGGCACTTATACTCATGGTGCTGATGGAAATTTGTATATTAGGGGGGGGGGGGGTCTCAGTATTGCTTTTGGTGAGAAAAGTGGAAAAGTATAAACATTGACAGCAATTTTTGGATTGTAAAGTTTTAAAAATGATACCTGTGAGAATGCTTTACCGAGTTGCATGTTTTTCATACTACTTTCAGGTGCTAGTAAAGGTTATGGTATTGTTGAGTTTAAAGAGGAGGTTGAGCAAAGTAAAGTCATCAAATCTGAGCTAGACTGGCACACAGTGGATGGTCAGTCTCTGCATGCTGACATTCTGGACGAGTCCTGTCTAGCTAACTTTGAACAGCTGCAGTCTCGCTGCCTGCTCATCAACGACATGCCAGAAGACTTTGTTGATGTTTCCAAATTGCGTGAGATGTATGGATGCGTGACTAGTCCAGTGTATTGTCAGGTAGGAAGTGATATTTGGATGCTTTTTTTTTGTGTGTGCTTGCATAGAATGGCCCTGTTTGTATCCTGGTCAGCTGTATCTACTTATTGAAAGCAAAGATACAAGTTTAGCTTCTTTTGTTCTTAGATTTCAATGGTTTTATGTGTAGTTTTCATTGTATGGTGCTGTTCAAAGTATGAGAATTTCAAATAAGTTAATGCCATTGCTGGCAGCATTAGCAATTTGGTCGTTGATTTTAGGGTGGGATATTCTTTGAAGCAGGGAGTGGGCATCTATGTTTGTACAAAAACTTGTTCCAGTTTCGGGCACTGAAAGTGACAACAGTTTTCTTTTACCACATGCAGACCTGCCACTCATCCCGATTTAATCGGGATATCCCGATTTTTTTCCCCAAATCTCAAGCATCCTGATTTTCCTGATTTCAATTGCCAGTATCCTGATTTTTTTTGTCGTTGCGTCTGTTGCGTCCGATTCTTAGAAAAAAATATAAAAAGTTCTGCAATCAGCAATCTCTTTTGCTCGTCGGAAGCACCGATTGGACTTTTTATCGGCAGGTACTTGGTACGCTATTTTCTAAAGCATCTATGCTGAATTTAGTAGTAAATGACTCACGCAAGTTATTTCAACTAAAATCAATGTATCGATTTTGCACTCCGACTTGGATACGCCCAAGATCTACTTTTGCTTTTATAACCCAGAATTCTCCGATGGTGCCCTGATTACTGTAACAATTATGACATGGGCCTAAGAATAATCTGTACGTTGTTTTGCCCTTGCTTTAAAAGCAAACTTCGTCTGAGTTTTCGTTAGTCAGGCCCATCATCAAGACCTGTCAGTAAAACTTTCAAACGCTCATTCACATCACATGAGATGACCTCGTACGTGTGAGTAGCGCGTGTGTCGGGGTCAACAAAGTTCATTCACACCGGTCGCATTGGTCGAGGTGTTTTTCGGGACTTAACTAGTGTGGGACGACCGGGGGGTGGGGGTATATTTTTTACACTTGGGCTTAAAGTGCGTGCCGTGATACAGGACTAATTGAGGAGAAAGGAATAAGAAAAAAAAAAAAATGAACTAGCTTGGCGCGGTCTTTTTTTCAAGGGGGCGGTGGGGTGCCTTGAGTGTATTTATGCGTTGGAAGTCAAACATTGTTGCTGTATGAAAACACAGGCTTTTTGCATAGATGATTAGAGTTATGTGTCAGCTGTTTTCAAGACTACGAGAGTTTCAGCTTTACTGTAACCTGCCCCCCCCCCCAAGTCTATCCAGCTCCGACTCGAGTACAGTTTTCTCTATATTTAGAGGTTCAAACGTAAACTTATTCCTGCAAAAGTTTTGTCTTGTATGCTTGCCTCAGAAAAGGGAACCAGGGCTCCCCTTTCCCCAGTGCCCATTATGACTGATTTGCCGTTTATCCCGATTTTTTTTCACCAGATCCTGATTTTTTAACTCTAAAATCCTGATTTTTAGATTTCATAGAGTGGCAGGTCTGCACATGGCATAAGAATAAGGAGACTGGTGAAAGTTCCAAGTGAAATATCTTTGAGCTACATATTCCTAGTTGTGCTGAATTGCGTTTCTGTTGTTTCTTTTCAGATTATTGCTAAAGGAGAGAAGTCTCTTGGATACGGCATTATCGAATTCCGCACCCCGGAGGATGCTGAGCAGACATGGCTGAAAATGCACACGGAAAAAATAGAAGATAAAGAAGTTGTAGCGACTTTCTGTATCCCAGGGAAGTCAGCTGTTGTGATCAACAATAGGATAATGTGGAAATATGTGAGTTTGGTATCCATGTCATTCAACCCTATCCGTACGTCATGTTTTACTATCGTATCCATACCATGTGGGGAACTCTGTGCCACCACTGTCCAAAGAGGAAATTTACTCGTTAGTCCGATCCGTACGCTTTGCATCGCAGTTTGTCAAAACGATTTTTCGAGAAATACTGAAAGTTCCAAAGAGATCCTCATACTAGAAGTATTCTAAAATGTGAAGAATACAACCCTGGGGGTACAAAATGACCAAAGTGATTAAGTGTGTTGCTTACGTTCAAACTGAAGAGAATAAACTGTCTCTAGGGATCTTTTTGGGGGGGGGGGGGGAGGGATTATATTAATAGATTTGAGGATACATTTACAACCTTTAGCAAGTCGAGATTTACTGGATGAGTTACATGTGTTGTTTTAAGTATGGGTGCTATTTGTTGGAGGGGGGGGGGGGGGCCCCTTTTTTTTTTTTGAAGGTTTCATTCCAAAGTTAAAAAATATTCCATGATCAGCAGGATGTTGATTGCATAATGCACGGTTGAATTGCTTTGCCAAATCCTTGCAAACTGAATGCAATAACTCCACACTGTCATCGATTTGAATACATTCACTCTTGATGCTTTTCCACAGAATAGTTTGTGAATAACTGTAGTTTGACTGCTTTTGGGGGGGGGGGGATGATTACACCTGACTGACAAAAAAACAACAACCCGAAAGTTCGTTCCATGACAATATCAATGCCTTTGTTCCACCACTGTTTTCAGGGAGACAAACTTCAGAAGAGCAGTAGCCTTCTTCCTGATCCCGTTGCTGCAAAGCCTGTCATTGCTGGGAATCCAATTGTCATTAGTTTGTCCAACATGAACTCTAAATGTAAGAAATTGTTTTAAAGTGGTCTGTATTACTAACTTATTGCTCCTTATTTGTTTGTTGTATTACATTGTTTATTTTTTTAAAGTCTTTCAAAGTGGGGGGGGGGGGGGAATCCACAGCATTCTATACTTTTCTTTTCATGATGAACTTATTGGCAACTGATTGAAACAGGTAAGATTCTCAGTCCAAACTGCCCTAAAACATGATATATTTTTTTTCCTTTTCCTGGTTAGCTCTATTTTGGTGAAATACAAAGATCATTTTAAAGATATGGCTGGTACATTGCCCCAGATACTCAATTTTATTGAAGTGCTGATTAATAATATAGTGCTTTTAGTAGATTATTGTATGGTGTTTTATGATAGTAATGAAGGTATTCAGTTTATAAGACATTCTCTTGCTTTCCATTTCAGTAATGGATGAGTTCACAAAAGTGCTTGGTGAATTGCAGCAAGCATATGTGTCTCAGATGATGTCACCTGTACACAAACCAGGTACTTGAATATTGTATTGTGTTCTATACTTAAGTTCTATTGAAATGTTTTTGGAAAAAGCTAGATTTATTATTAATTTTTGCTGAATATGCAATGCATGTGTAAACACAGTAAAGACTTTATATTCTTGAGAGATTCTCTGCTCTATTTTGGTGGCAGTTTTTTTTTAAAGCTTCTTTACCTATTAAAAGGAGACTTCTGGTTCTGGTTGTAATTTGATGCTACTTTTACTAATGTTGTGCTTTTTGACATGTTTCTTTATTTTTACTTCCAATATTTCTGTGTGTACTTCATTAACCCTAAAAATCCAAATAGGTTTCCTTTTCTTTATAGGAGCTTACCTCAAGAAAACTGATCTGTAAGAAAAGTAATTCATGGCTTCGTGAATTTTAATAATTCCTTTTAAAGTTGTAGCCTGTTGTAGGGCTGATTACAATCCTTTTCACTTCTAATCTTTTTTGTTAAACAAGTAAAAAAAAAAAAAAGTTTCAGAATATTTTCAAGTTTAATGATAAGGCTTCAAATAATACTTTCTTAATTCTTTTTTCCTGGCTTTCTATACTTCTAAGATTGTTTGTATGTTTCTTTAATGTGTTTACCTGGCTTTTATTGCTACGTTGTGTTTTGTCTTGCTTTTTGTTTGTGATATTGGAATTTGTTATATTGATGTCGTGTTGTGAATTCTTTCAGGGCCAGGCGGATGAGTTTGGCAGTGATCAAAGTGAACTCACCTCCTCTTCCCCCTATCAAGGCCTAATATACATGGTAGACTATAAGAAGAATGGGTCAAATAGACACACACATTCCAACACGTTCACAATAAGTTTTGTCTTGCATACACCATGGTTCTCTCTTGCAGATGTACTTCTCTCTTTGTTTCTTTGTGTCTGCAGCTCTGACAACACAGACAACAACCCAGCAAATTGTTTGACGTAGCAGATCCTTCACCCTTCTGTCTATCGTCTCGTCTGTCTTCAAATACTTCATTTTTGGAATGATGGGTGTACATTGCTTTGACCCTTCTGTCTGTCCCTCGTCTGTCTTCATTTCCAGATGAGAGAGTTTGGTTCAGTTCATTCGGCATGGTGAAGACTGTTCTTTTTTCTATGTGGCCTATATGTTCCAGTGGACTGTCTCCATCCTTTCTTGTTTTCGGTATTTTTATCCCTTTTTCTCTGTATCATGTAGCAGTGAGCGGTGTGCACTCTTTCTTTTGTTCTGGATCTCTCCTGTTCCAGAATTCTGTCACTAATGGACTGTCTATGAATTCTTTTTATTGACTTGCAGTTCTTTTGGTTCCACTTGCTGTGTATCTTACTTGAACTTTTTTTTTGTCCTCTCTCTGCTCCTCTTTTTGCAGCTGCAAAAACACAAGGACTAAAGAGATGAGAGGCCCAGATCAAATTCGTCTTGTCATTGTATTATGTTTTTGTTTTGTTTTTGTGACCACTTGAATTGTTGAATGCAAGCCGTTGTCGTCGTGTTGTAAATATTATACAGTTTTGCAGTCCCTGTGAACCATTATGTGTTGAAGTTATTAGTGTTTTTTAAATTGTTCTCGTTTTGTCCTTGTGTTCTCTCGTTATGTTTGGTAAATGTCTTTTATCTCGCTTTTTTCAAACACTTAAAACTGTTTTTGTACTGTTGTTTTGCACTGTGTGGTCCATGGCAATGTTTTTGTAGAGTATTGTTTTCCATTGTTCTTGTTTTGTTTCTCTGCAATTTGTTCATGGTTATTGGGACTGTCCATTCTCTTGTGATGTTAAAAATGTTTCTCGTACTCTGGTAGAAAATGTTGGTTTGTTCTTGTTTGTTTCTTCATGGTCGTTTTCCATGACTGTTTTGTTTCTTGTCTAAATTGCTTCTTTCTGCAATTATATTTAACACTCGAATGATGGTATTTGACGATGAACGAATGAAGAGAGTATGTGAACGTGCAATGTTCTTGTTTTCGTTTTGTTCATATTGATGTGTCTCTGTTTTTGTGCGGTCTATTTCATGGCTATCAATTGGACTTTAGTGTGCCTTGTGGTTGTTTTGTGTGGGCACTACCTGCTGGGGTACTGATGTTTGTGGTTCTGACTCTAAAACTGCCTAAACAATGAGAAAAGAGCCATATTCCATGTAAATGTGAGTTAATTGTGTCTCTAGCTCACTTCAAACTTACAAAGTAGGTGAGATTGCAAAATATGATGTTATACTGACTTCTTGTCTCAAATTATTTGTAAGGTGAAAGAAAGATGATACACCTGTCATGTTTGTGGGAGTGACTTTATAAAACTTCTCCTTTGATCTTTGTTTTTTTTTTTTTTAAAGATTTGTTATTAAAGGGATAGAGAATCTTTATGAAAGAGTGTTTAATTCCATTTAAGGATATGTTCAATAAATTACAGAATTTGAGCGTCAAAATGCTTGACTAGTGAGTACTTCACTTTTGGTTTTATGGCTCTTTTCAGCGGGTGAAGTCATGTTGGTTTTTTTTTCTTCTGCTAACTCTATATATTAGGTACTGTTTTATCTGGTCTTTCAGGTTTGTTGGGACCGGCGCCATCACTTCCTCTAAGCCCCATGATGAACCCAAACATGCAGTTGGGGCTTTTGGTGATGCTTGCTATCCACATTCAGGGTGCAAAGAAAGAACAGGTATGGTCTCGGTGATAAACTTTGATAGCTTAAAAAATAGTAATGTAAAGTTAATTTCATAGGTTTGAAGTATATTTCTGGCAAAAAGTATGCTTTATTTGTATCAAATTAATGTTATGAAATAGGGTTTAACCCACTCAGTACCATAACGGCCGTAGCCGGCCGCTTCCATTTTATAAGATTAGTACCATTACGCCGTAGCCGGCCGCGCTCTAGTAGCTTTGTTTCTAGGGAAGTGTACACATTCGGTAACCATCATGTTTAACCCGCATTTTGACCAATCAGAAAATAGATAATCATTCTCTCCTTGAGAGCAGCAGGGACATAACTCTTTTAGTTGGACTAAATTTAATGTAAACAAACTGCAGTTCACAAGGGTCGCGCAAGCTAAGATCGAGCATTCTTCGCAAGCCGCCGGCATCGCGTTCAGACTGATTTAGGCGAACTTTTGCATAATTTTAATGAAAATATCAGTGCTGGGGGAGAAAACCCACCGAAAGGTAGCAATTGAAGTGAAAGTGACATTGATGGTGATCTAATTGTGCCTTTGGGGGGTGATTCGGACAATGAGAATGAGGTCAATGAGGAGCATATGACTAGATCTACAACTCGGCTGATTTTATCTTCAATTATGAAATACAGTCAACACACATAATAAACAAGTAATTTTTTAATTAAAATTTATTCATTTGTGAAGCACTTGTTTCAAGATTTTTTTGGAGCAATGGATTGGTTGTTTTATAATGATTTTTTCAAAATACCCACTACATTACAATCATGGATTTATTCCCCTTTGCGTGGTCCTGAGCCATCTTCCTACTGGAAATCCAATGGTACTGAGTGGGTTAAGAATTATTAATATTATCTCTTGTAACACCTCTAATCTTCGGCACTTATATGACCTTATTGTGTTGCAAGTGCTGTAAAACTCTTTACTAAACTAAACTAAACTAAGAGCTCAGTAAGTGGGTGGTTGGCGGGTTCTCCTGTGTGGTTTGCTCCTTCTTTCCTATCAAACATCTATCGTCCTTATCTCTCCTCCTTTTTTGTGTTTGTTACTCTCTTGTAACAACTCTGATCTTCGACCCTTATATGACCTTATTGTATTGCAAGTGCCGTAAAACTCTTACTAAAACTAAAGAGCTCAGTGGGTGCTCTAATCAACAAGTGACGCCTATTATGAGGATTCACATAATGATGTTCCCACTTTGTGGAATGGAGTCTTGACTTTTTTTTCTTACATTCTCTTGTTTTGTATGTTTACAGTTTAAAGGAGTCTTGGCCAAGCAGCTGAACAACTTGAGTGAACCGGAAGGCGTAGATGTGAGTAATTCTACAAATAGGCCGTCAAACCTGCTCAGAGGGTTACCTGTATTAGACAATCACCTGTACAAATGGCCACTTTCCGTTCCTCCCCCGTGAATTATAAAAAAATAATGACACTGCATAAGACGTCCACCTAAGGCAGACCTTTTGCTCCTCAAAAATGGGTGGTCGTCTTGGACAATTTCAACCGTATTATGATTTTTTTTTTTTTACTTGAATCACTTGTGTTTAAACCCCAAGGACTGGGTGGTTGGGAGGTGCTCTGGTGTGGTATGCTGCTCCTTTTTTAAATTTTTTATTAAACAACTATCGTCTTTATCTCTCCTCCTTCTTTTTCATGTTTGTTACTCCGTTGCAACTCCTCTAATCTTTGGCACTTATATGATCTTATTGTGTTGCAAGTGCCGTAAAACTCTTACTAAAACTTAAACTAACTCCAAGGACTTCCCTGTTGTATAGACCGATTGTGACCATGTGGGCAGTATGTGTCTGATAGCTTGTACCACAGTATGTATGTAAGGTGCTGGCCATATTTGACTTGCAGTGTGTGCAGACAGTTGTAAAGAAATGAGAAGAGTTGATTTGTACCAATTGAATTCCATTATTCTTGCACCAATTTCCTCAAGAAGATAGGCTAGTACAAAAATTGAAATTTGCTCTCAATTTTCCTTAATATTGGAATTACTTTCAGTCCATGCGTTCTTGTAGAGTGAGAGAAAGCGGAACAAAGACTCAATGATGAAGTTAACTTTGTTTTACGACTCCTTTAGTTGAACGTTTTTTTCTGTATGAAAGAGTTTTCTCTGTTGTAGCGTTTGAGTTGTGGTTGTTTGTTAATATGACTAGAAATGGGTCTTTTTTTATCCCTGTAATTCTTTTCACTAACACTTTGATGTATTTTTTGGCTCTCAGAGTGGACGTAAGCCATCCATTTTGGGGGATCCCTTGACTGGACAAGCCAACGTGATTCTTACCACTCTGAAGCAACAGCTGAACCAGGTCGCTCTCACTGGAGAAGATGGAGAGACTGTTGAAGAACCAGAGGCTGTTGATGACAAAATCCAGCACATTGTCAAGAAGTTTATTGCCAATGGACGCTACCTCAACCTGAGCCTCCTCACCAACCTGGGTCAGCTGCTGGTCACCTTGAACAAAGTGGCCTCCGACACTCCCAGAAGTGGTCCCACATCTTTGGGTAAGATCTCTTGAGATTAGAGAATACTTGACTGCTCATTCCGTCAGAAATCAGGGTTGAATGGAACATTGAATGAGTTATCCGTTTATAGTTTGTTTTAAAGATGTACGAGTTGCTGCAAAGCCTGCAGTTTGAACATGAAGTGTGTCAAGAGGACTAACAAAAGAAACTTATATTCCTTGAACTATCAATTCCTTTATTCCTCCGTCTGCCATACATTTTTTTTCTGTAGGATTGTATTTTCAAGTAGTCGTATTATCTCCACTGTAAAGATTTGTTTAGAATGACGGGTAGATCGAAGAAATTTCAACTTTTTCATTTATAGAACTATGTTTAATTTGAGTTGTTTTTTGTTGTTTTTGTTTGACGCTCCAGTGAATAGAATTAGTAAATTAATTTGAAGAAGTGAACTGTAGATTGTTCTTTATAAGGGTTGTGCCTGATTGGGTCTGACTTTTTAATGCAATAATTTTTAGAATGAGAATGAAGTGGTTGACAAGAGGTTCACATAATAAACATAATGTGAAAGTTCTGCTTTGCGTTATAAATTTTTTAAAGAATAAGTTGTGATGTAAACCACCTTTGGTTTTTTTGCAGTGTGAACAAAATACATTTTGAAAGAGATAAGCCAAAATATCAGAAATCTCTTTAAAAACTGGATAGAGTTTGTTCTCTGTTTTGTAAAGGTCTGGGGCGTAATATTGCAGGATAACAAAGTACTTTGAATACAGAGCTAGTGCATTGTTAGACCACTGGGAGCTTCATCGATATATATGGCGTTGAAACTTACATGTCACTTTTAAAAAATGCTGAGACCACTAAAAATTGACTTTATAAAAGAACGTTACTGAAATTGACTTAAAAAAAACAAACTTGTTTGTTGGCGGGTGCTCTGGTGTGGTTTGCTTCTTCTTTCCTATCAAACATCTATTGTCTTTATCTCCCCTCCTGCTTTTTTGTGTTTATTACTCTCTTGTAACACCTCTAATCTTCGGCATTCATATGTGTTGCAAGTGCTGTAAAACACTTACTAAAATTAAGAATTACTTCTTTTTTTCTTCTTCAGTTTGTGCAGAAGTGGATATGGAGATGAATGATTCAAACTGGCTTGAAAATTGGCAGTTGGTCTAAAGTTTTTCTTGCTGTTTCTTGTTTTTTCAGGAGGTGGTAGGGGCCAGTCTCTATTGGGTCCCGTACCTGGATCTGGTCCACCCCAGCCTCTAATGGGGCCCCCTGTAAGTGGAGGAGGCATGGGTGGCATAGGTGGCAAAGGTGCTTCATTGTTGGGGGACGCCCCCATGGCTGGGCCAAAGTCCCTGCTGGGCATGGGTAGAGGTAGGGGGAACATGCCCGGTGGTGGTCCCATTGGCAATAACCCTTCTATGGGGATGAGTATGGGCGGTGGTAGCAACAGTAACAATTCGGGCGAGAGCCTCTTGAAGCAGATCAGCCAGGGACTTGTACATCAGGTACGTGATGCGGACGTTCGCGATAGTAATGAACGTGTTGATCAGAATACTGTTTCTCTTGTATCTGACAAGGATGGGAGGTGGGGATTTGAATTGTTGGTGTCAACAAATGCTAGTTGCTCTGGCTGAGCGAGGATTGGTCAGTGTGCCTTATGGACATGTGGTTGGGTTGGGTTGCTGTGATTTTTTTCATGGCCCCGAGTTTATGAGTGTTTATGCATTTGCATAAAAGTAATGTTTATAAGGCTCTGACTCCTAGCTCACATGGAGTCCTGCCTCCATAACTGTCATTGTATTGAGGGAGGCATATAACTACTTCATTGTCCCGTTTACATGTTTGGCAATAGTAATTTTTAGTTGTGGGGGGGGGGGGGGGGGGGAGAAAGTAAGTGTGGAGGTTGTACTGACGATGTGGCCCTGTGTGTTTCTTTACTGATTAGAAATAACATGCATTAGAATTTAGATACATGCTTGAAATTTGTTTGTCTTTTTTATTATATCATATTTGATTACTTTTGCTATCCAGTGGAGTCAGCTTAAACTGAAATCAGTGTGACGGGCTGATTTTTTTTCCCAGTTTGGCCTCATTTTCAGCTAAGAGAGGTTTAGATAGAAGGGAAAAAATCAGATAGGAGTCCACTGAAAAAACGGGCATAGTCACAAACTGGAAATTGTGAGGGTGTCAAAGCTTCTGGACTCATATTTGTTTGATTGGTGGTTTGTTTTATATGTTTGTTGGATGGGAAATCTAACAGCAATAATCAACCAACAGCTGAACAGAAATACAGTAATGAGTCAGCAAGTGTTCAAAATTGCTATCCTCACGATTTTGAGTTCGTGAAAATGCCAATTTTTTCAGTGGGTTCCTCATCTATTTTCTTTACTTTCAGTTTACTGCCATTTTTAGATCAATTGTGTTGAGTTAAGCAGACTCCACTGTATATATATTTGTTCATTTTTCTCTCAAGTTGATATTGTTGGAAAATATATCTTTCTTTTAAACAAAGCTAACCTTTGAAGAGGTTACATTCTTTCTTGAAGAGAATTTCATATTCATGGTGGATGTAAGTGGGGGGAAAAGTTATTTTTTTGCTAACTATTTACATATGTATTGTAATTTAAACACTTTTTGGTGCTGATTAATGTTGCTATTTGATGCTCTTTTGCCCACTGTTGAGTTAATTTCCTCCTGAATTATAATGCTTAATAATGTAACATGGGTTGATTTAGCTTTGTTTGCATTTAAAAGCTACAGGGTGGAAAAAACTCATGATGTCACATTTTGCTACTAACTGAAAATTTAAATTTAGAAATGTGAAAAGACTGCCTGTTTCTTTCAAATGTAGAATTCATAGTTGTTGTGCTGTGCAGCCGAAATATTCATTTTTGGTTATTTTCAACAAGTATCTTTTTTGTGTCATCTTGTGGCACAGAGGGGATTAGAAGAAAATGACTGTGGTTTGGACATCACCAGTTTCTCCCCTGTAGTCTTTTATTTGATATTTATGATAGCGTTGTGCATCTTATTTAATGTGTGAAAATCTATTGAAGAAATTTCTTTGGTGCAGATTGGCCAAAACCTCCTGTACCAGATGTCGATGGGAGGTGGGGGACCTGGTGGTCCCGGCGGCGGTGGCCCAGGAGGCAGAGGACTGCTGGGTGATGTGCCCAAGGACGACCCCGGCATGGGCAAGCCAATGGGCAACCACATGCGAAACCAGATGGGCAACCAGCGAATGAAGAGCGGAGGGGGTGGATTTGGGGGTGGCCCCGGCGGCAGTGGATTTGGAGGCGGACCTGGTGGACCTGGGAGTGGATTTGGATCTGGAGGTGGCGGATTTGGAAGCGGAGGAGGAGGAGGTGGGTTTGGAGGCGGACCTGGCAGTGGATTTGGCGGAGGCGCTGGCAGTGGTTTTGGCGGAGGACCCGGTAGTGGATTTGGTGGAGGTGCTGGAGGAGGTGGATTTGGCGGGGGTTCTGGAGGTAGCGGTTTTGGTGCTGGTTCCGGAGGTGGTTTTGGCGGAAGTGGTGGCGGAGGAGGAGGTGGAGGTGGATCGGGTGGAGGTGGAAAGTCGCTGTTGGGCAAGCCTCCCAGTTTCAAGTCGAACCAGGGTGGAAATACTGGCAACGCCGCATTGGACCAAGGATCCTGGAAGAGTATGGAATCTGGGTAAGTTTAAACATTAACTCCCCCATTTATTTTTCTTTTGTTTTTTTCTGTAAGTCATTTGATTTTCTTTACCTTGAAATCTGTCTATGATTTTTCTCAATTTGTAAAGTGCAAAAACACAATCGTTTGAAACTTAAATATGCTTACTTACTCTCTAGAGAAAAATCTCAGATACTGTAATTAGCAATGTGTGATGTTTTCTGTATATTCATTAATGTTTATCTCTTCTTTTTTTAAAAACAACTTTACAACTGATTTATTGTCCACCAGGCGTTGGGGTTCTGGAAACAACTATGAGAGCGGCTACGGCAACAAAACCAATATGTCTGGAGGATACAATGACTACTCGTATGGAAATGATAATTACTCGGTATGTATTTGCTTTTGTTGTTGTGGTTTGAGATGCTTTTTTGTTAACATTCTCGAGAGTGGTGGATTACTTTTGAGTTTTGTGCAGCGGAGGGGGGTTGTATTGTACCAGGGTGAGTGTTTCCCATTAACCCTGGAAGCGCGCAGACCCTATATGAAGAGCATGGGCCGGGCTACCCGGGAAGCGTGCAGGCCCTATATATAGGGCTGACCTACTTGGACCGGGAAGCGCGCAGGCCTAATATAAAGGGCATAGATGCTGACCGTGTGAATGTTTACATGCAGAGAGGCGAAAAGGGCCTGTAAAATGTATGTAACATATTGAGGGGGGGGGGCAGAGTGTTGTCATATACGCTTTGTGTATTGTGTAGCTTTTTATGTTTTAAATTTTTCGAGGTGTTCCTGTTGGGACATGTATTATTATAAGTTCATATCTTTTCATCCGAATTGGAGTAAAGCAGTCTGCTGCCTGTCCACTATGTGACTACCCCTCAGAGATAGTGGAACATCATCTGTTCTTCTGTAGAAAACTAACCGGTCTGAGGGGATGTTTTCTTCCCAAGCTACCCCTCACCTCTAACTGCCTCTACTCCTCAAGACAACAGTAAGAACAGACATGCAGCTTTTGCTTTTACAGAATGGCATCATGCTACTGGATCGCTTATAACAACATATCTTTCCACAGCAGGACATGAGTAGCGGAGGCTATGGTGGTTATGGTGATGGCAACTCGGACTACTCCTATTATCAACAGGTAAAATAACTTTTTATTTCTGTTTCTCTGCACATTGACCTTCGTGTTGTCAGGCAGTTTCAAGCTGTTTGCAAGATTTCCCAGACTCTTTTGTGCTTTTTGTTTATTTCAAATTTCTGTCGGTTGGATTTTCCTTTTTCCCCCCCCAAAGCTTAATGAAATTGTTAGATTCAAACTGCCAATGGAGTGTTATAGGTCTGTTGTATATTGATATAGTACAGATTGTGAAGTGCCTAGAGCTTGCTGTTGAGCGGGGATTTGCACTATACAAATGCTATCTATTATTATTGAATCATACAGACCTGCTATTCTATGAAATCTAAAAATCAGGATTTGAGAGTTAAAAAATCAGGACCTAGCGAAAAAAATCGCGATCAACGGCTAATAAGCCATAAGGTGCACTGGGGGGGGGGGGGGGGGGGGGGGTGTCCCATTTCCCTCTTGTGAGGCCAGCCTGCAAGACAAAACTTTTGCAGGAATAAGGTGCTTCCAAACAAAAGAGATTACAGATTAAAAAAAATTTTTTTCTTATAATCGGAAGTAACAACAAAAAATCGGGATACACATGATCGAAATTGGTAAAATCGGGATGCTTGAGATTTGGGGGAAAAATCGGGATATCCCGATTAAGTCGTGATGAGTGGCAGGTCTGATCATACATTATGTGTTAACGACTGGACCAGACAAAAGATTTGGGCACACTGGGCAGTGCAGACTGAGCGAGGTAAAGTGAGCTAGTCGTGCAATCGTGCATACATTTGTACTAGAGGTAGCATTTTGCTTGTAGTATATGGATGTGATTATGGTATATATCATGGAATGATTTGCTTTGCGTCCTGCCACTGGGAGAGGAGTAATTAATGCAAATGCTCCTATAGATTTTTCTGCCTGCTGCCAGATGTAACTAAAGAGCTACTGCTTTGGATTAAAAAAAATTTTGTGTCTGTAATTCTGAGTACCAGAAGCATTCAGTATTGGATTTTATTTGAACAGTTAAACCTGTGTTAGACAACCTACGTGTAAAAACTGCCACCTCTTCCCAACACTCCCTGCATGTTTAAAAATTTTTTTAAAAATGAAACTGAAAGACATCCACCTTAGCAACTGATTTTTTTTGCTGAAAAATGGGTGACTGTCTAAGACCGTTTCATCTGTATTTGTCTAAAATGACTCTAGTGGCATATGTTTATATCATTTTTGGTCTTGTTTGTGAGGCCTATAAAAAATATTCACTTTGACTAAATTGTAAGTGCAGTTTTAACATTTCTGAGGAGGGGGGGGGGGGGATCTATAAGGTTTTATAAATGTCTTTTTGTTTACACATGGATGTGTTTCTATTTGATTTGCAGTGTTGACTAAATGTATTCATTCCCTTCAGTGTGTGTGTGTAGTTTTGTGTCCCTAAATTTTCCAAGCTAATGCAGAGATATAAGCCAGTGCCAGTTAGTCAGCAAAGAATCAAAATGAGCTGTACACAGCAAAAAATCAAATTGAGCTGGTCAAAATCTCCATCTTGTCATTGGGAATAATATTTTTTAGAAGCAAAAGTGGGTGCTTGGGGTGTATAGAAGGCAAGGCAATTTTGGCTAATTCCCTCAATAAAAAGTTATTTTAGTGAACTAGGCTGGTACTAACACAGCATGGTGCCGAAGAGTCAATATTGTGCAGTTTGTTTCTAGATTGAATAAGAGGATGAGGAGGCGGCAATGTGATTTTAGGAATTTTTATCATTGCTCTTGTTGTTGCTTCTTTTTAAATAGTTATGTTTCCATGCAATAGTTGCCACAAAGAATATAGCTTACTTGTTCTGTTTTTATTTGCTATTTGTGTTGTATTTTTAGAATTTAAAAAATGATTATCATGTCATTATGAAGTGCATGTGGCTTACTCCAAATCTTCTTTCACAGTTTGGATATGGTCAGGATAACTCGTACCAAGGGGACAGTGGGTATAATCAGGTAGACACATTTTTTTACTTATTGTCCAGACTTTATCTCTTTGCCTGATTCTACTGGCATCTACCATTTTCTATGCTTGTTGCCTAAGTGTTCCAAAGGACTGGAAACCGCTCTTTCACCTCTTATTGGATGTTAAAGGTGGCCATTCAGCTTTTTAAATTGGTTTCTAATTATCCAAGATGACCATGCTGAATTGCTATACATTTAAATTAAATTTCACATATGAGGAAGTTTCAGTATAACACATCTCGGTGATCTTTGTGAATGTGTTCAATTTTGAGTATGTGGTTGAGTATAGATTCTAAGAGCCTTGTACCATATGCAGGTGGACTCTTTGTTATCTAGAAAATGCTGCATGTCTGAAAGGGTGGCTATTAAGAATGCATGCGCTCAATTACAGCTTTCTGTTTCAAACTGGTGAATTATTTGTTTCCACTCCTTGACTGATTTGTGTCCTTACCTCTTTGAGCACCAATATCATTTGTTTTTGTTGTATTGAAATGTTCCTTTGAAGTTGTTTGTTAAGAATATGCAATAAGATATGTATATTTCTTCGGTGATCTATGTTTAAGCGTAGTCTTATATTTATTCAGATATTCAGGAGTATGTTAAAAGTATAATGCCTGCTGACTTTTTCTCCCCCATATTCCCTGAAAAATTTGTCCCCAAGCATTAGACTTTATTTTAAATTCATTAGCTGCTCAGCTAAATCTGATTTAATGCTGTGTCTTTCATGGATATATTTCAAAATTGGTAGTGTGGCAGAAATTGCTGTCTGTATTTTTAGATGGAGTTCCTTCATCAGTCCTGAAACATTCCGATTATTGGTTTTTGAACGTTTGAAATGCTTTTGAAAAAAATATTCTACACTAAAAAAGGCTTTGACGATGCTCCTTTCTAACTCAAAATACAACCTATCCCTTGCATGAGCAGTTAAGTGACTGGAATGGCTTTCAGTTTGGGGGGGGGGGGGGGGGGGGGCACATGGAAAGAGTTACATGGACAAGTAAATGACTGACCAATGGAAAGTAGGCCATCATTTACTACTTCAATATTTTCCTAATAAATAGAAAATAAAGTACAAAGCAATGAATAGGAAGAAACTTAAAAAAAATGTTAATGACTAGATAATACTATAAAGGATTGAAGGGGGTAATCACATTTTGTTCGGTAATTGAAATAGAAGGATTAAAAATTACACTTCCTACTCTTATAAATGGGGATGTTAATCAAGTGAAGTGCTGGGGTTTATAATTCTAAGGAGCTTCAGAATTGCTTGTATTGTAGGCCTACAATCTTCATGTTGACAGTGGACGAGGTTTCTGTGTTCCCTTTTTTCTTTTTTCTGATAAGGCTTAATTAGTGTTTGTGTTTCTGGGGCTCATGTTTACCAATGCATGCATGTTTGTTAGTGCATTTGTTGTCACATGTTACATGGAGTAAATTTCTTGGAGCATGCAAAAATTTAGTCGTCATGTAGACCTGGTAAATGTCTTACAATTGGTTGATTATATGTTGGTCTAGATGTCCTGTGATCTTTGCTCTGTTACTCTGGGGGAAAAAAACATACAACCAAAAAACAAATATTCTGTGCAATTGCCAATGAGCAGTTAACTGAAATTTGTATATACAGAGGTGAAAACTGGCTTGGTTTTTACCGTTCTCTGTTCCTCCCGGAAACAATAAAAAATTTTTAATTAACACTTTGGGGTCGCCGGTGAAAATTATCCATTCCGGTCACCGCCAGGCCCGAGAAGTCCCTCGTGGCTGGGTGACCAGATGGGGTATTTTGTACTGCTGGCCTGTGTGACTGCTAAGCGTTAACAGTTATTGTGTATGCTAGTAACTTTAGCTTTTTTTGGACAGTTGTGAGTTATTTGCAAATATAGGATAGCCTATAGTTTCTCTGTGGCCAAGAACAGCATCAGTCAGCAGGAGAGAGAGTCCTTCTGAACTTGAAAGGACGGAACAAAAGTAACTTTAGACTATCCAGAAGAAATATGTGAGGCAGCTTGGTGAAATCAGGCAGACGCTCGTCAAAATACAGAAATTGGAGAAACAGGCGTTTCTGAAAGTTAGGAAATTTTTATCGAATTTTTAATTTTGGGCTAAACCTCGTTTATGTCCATATAAAAACACATTTTCATTTGAATTTTACTGAAAAACATTGATTAAAGGCACAAATATTGTCATTTTTTCTTTTTTCGAGGACTAGCTATTGGAAGTACCAAACTTTGGTGGCCATTTTCTCGCTAATTTAACCACTGAAACCGGGCGACGTCACTTACTTCAATCTCAAATATCTTGAGTTCTATTCGAGATAGATGGATATTTGTTTCATTGAAAGCAAGGCGAATAAATCAGCTTTCCGATGATACCAATAACTACATGGACATACACAAAAATTGATGAGCGCCTGATTCCACCGCTTCGTAACACATATACAAATAAATTGGAATAATGTTCAAAGGAAGGAAAGCTATCATGTGAAGATATTAGCCGTACAGTAATGTTTGGTCAGATAGGACTATTACTTTCTTTCAGTTCGGGTTGGTGGATGCTCTGGTGTGGCTTGCTCCTTCTCACCTATCAAACATCTATCGTCCTGATCTCCCCTCCTACTGTTTTGTATTTGTTACTCTCTTGTAAGACCTCTAATCTTCGGCACATCATATATTATAACCTTATTGTGTTTGCAAGTGCCTTAAAACTCTTACTAAAGCTAAAACCGTCTCTCCTGACATATATCGTCCTTTTCTCCCCTCCTGCTTTTTGTATTTGTTGTGCTCCTGTAACACCACCTCTTATCTTCCGCACTTATATTATAACCTCATTGTGTTGCAAGTGCCGTAAAACACGTACTAAAACAAACTCCCGTCCTTCTATTTTGTGTTTGTTACTCTCCTGTAACACCACCTCTTATCTTCCGTAGTTATATTATAACCTTATTGTGTTGCAAGTGCCGTAAAACTCTTACTGTACAACAACTTTCAGTTTGGTGGCTCTGGCTTTGGCTCTGGAGGTGGCATGGGCTCTGGAGGTGGCATGAGCGGCAGCGGCTCTGGCAATATGGGCGGTGGTGGCAGCGGCACTGGTGGATATGGAATGGGTGGGGGCCTTGGAGGCAACCAAGCATCAGGTGTGAGCTTCCAGGTATCAAGTTGTAGCCCTCATTGGTTGATGGCCATTACTCATTGTCCTTTTGGGTTGGGATGAAGGTGCTGTAAAGGTGCCAGGGGAAGACTGTGTGTTTTGTCTGTTCATAGCTCATTGATATACATATTTAGTCTTTAGTCTGTTCATAGCTCATTGATATATATTTATTTAAAGTCTTTAGTCTGTTCATAGCTCTTGATCTAAAGTCTTTTGTCTGTTCATAGCTCATTGGTATACATATCTATTTGTGATAAAAATGTTTTTTATAATTTTATTTTTTGTGTGTTTTGATTGGAAAAGCCTTATACAGTTTTTAATCTTTATTGTCCTTATCCTCTTTTAAAGAAATTTTGTTGACATTGCTAATATGTATATCAGGAAGAGTTTCTCAGTAAATCCATTACACTTTTTGTTATGACTTTCTATAGTTTTATAGAATCCCCTTTCTCATGGGTTGATTCATTTGCCATTTTGTTCATGAAATCATGCATACATTGAAATTGAGTCTGTAGTTAGTTAACTTTAAAAAAATCTTGTTATGGAATTAATTTTATCAAAGATTTATCGTAGGTGGTTGGCGGGTGTTCTGATGTAGTTTGCTCCTTCTTTCCCTTCAAACATCTATCGTCCTTATTTCCGCTTACTTAAACAAACAAAGATTTATCACAATTTTTTTTTTTTGGTCTTTTTCCTTCCGTTTTCAGGATGGACAAGCTTTCGGCAAAGGAGGCAACAGTGGCCTTGGCCAAGATAATAGCAACTATGGTGGGGATGGGTACGGGGGAGGAATGGGAAACAATAATTATGGCTACGGCGGAAGAGATGATTACAACACTGGGACTTACGATTCCTACGGGTCTGTTGGTTTGGGTGGGAACTACTCTAGCGGAATGGGAGATGGCATGGGAGGAATGGGCGGTGCCAGTGGCGGCGGGGGTAGCATGAGTGGGATGGGAGGGAGCGGAATGAGTGGGATGGGCAGCGGCTCGATGAGTGGGATGGGCAGCATGAGCGGTATGGGCAGCGGCTCCATGAGTGGGATGGGAGGAATGGGCAACACCAACTCGATGAGTGGGATGGGCAGTTCGTCCATGAGCGGAATGGGAAGCACCTCTATGAGTGGGATGGGAGGAGGCTCTATGAGTGGGATGGGAGGCGGCTCTATGAGTGGAATGGGCTCTGGTATGAGCGGGATGGGCGGAGGCTCTATGAGCGGGATGGGTGGAACTTCCATGGGGGGAATGGGCGGGATGAGCAGCAGCATGAATAACGGCATGGGTGGCATGAGCGACATGTCGTCCAGTGCCTACTCCACTGGTATGAGCGCGTCGGGCAGCAAGGGCTACGGTAGCTCCGGTACCGGCATGATGGGAGGCAGCAGCAGCTATGGGAGCAGTGGTGGCATGGGCACGGGAGGCTCCATGGGCAACAAGATGGGCGGAGGGCTGGGTGGCAGAGACCAAAGTATGATGGGAAGTTCCTACTACCAGGGCGGTGCAGGGAACAGCGTGTCAAACTCTGGACTGTTGCCATCACCTTCAAAATATGTGAGTTTCTAGTTATTCAACATTTTTTTTTTCATATCTGGGGGGGGGGGGGGGGGTGTATTGAGATCGAACTGATGCTCTTTCTGATTTGATCTTTTACTGGTCTGGTGTTACTTGAAGCATATATATGTGAGGCATCATGGTGAAATCAGGTGCTCGTCAAAATTAAATCGAAATCTGCTTTTTTCTGCCATTGTCGAATTTTTAATATTTTTTTTTAGCTCAATACCTTTTATGTCTATTTAAAAACAGATATGTGTGGATTTTACTGAAAAGCGTTGACTGAAAGCAGGAACAATGTTAATTTTCACATTCCAACGACTCTCAAGCTTTGCAAATAGCCAAACTTTCGCTGTCATTTTCCCGCTTATTTTATCTCTGAAACCAGGCGTTCCCCGTTCCTTCAATTGCATATATCTCGACTTCTATTCAAGATATATTGACATTTTTTTCATCGGAAGACAGGCAAATGATCAAGCTTTAAGATATAACAAAAACTCCATAGGCCCAAAAATTGACAAGCGCCTGATTCCACCACGTCCTGACAGATGTATATGGATATTGTGCCATGTGTTCCTTATTATGTGGAAGAATTTTAGTTAATGTTCATACGGACGTTTTTCTCTATCTCACGAGAAGTACAGCAAAAAAATAGATTTCTGTTTATGCTGGTTTGTTAGTGACTTTGTGATTACACTGGTCTCCTTCCAGAGATTTGTTATTCAGAAAATTTTTAGAAAGTGGGCTCTTACTTTGGGCTGGTTACTGGACTGATTGGCGGGTGCTCTGGTGTGGTTTGCTCCTTCTTTCCTGTAAAAAATGTATCGTCTCTATCTCCCCTCCTTTTTTGTTTTTGTTACTCTTTTGCAATACCTCTAATCTTCGGCACTTATATGACCTTACTGTGTTGCAAGTGCCGTAAAACACTTACTAAAACTAAAGTGGGCTGATGTCAAGGGGTACTATTACTCAGCTCCTCCTGGTTGATTTCATGGTAGGCACTCTTGTGTATACATATTCAGTTGAGTTTAGTGCAATCCTGGTGTGTGGGTGGTTGGCGGGTGCTCTGGTTCTTTCCTATCAAACATCTATTGTCCTTACCTCTCCTCTTTTTCTTTTTGTGTTACTTTCTAGTAAAATCTCTAATCTTTTGGGGAGGGGGGGGGGGCTCTTGTGGCCTAGAGGTTAAGGTGTTCGCTGCTTGTTCAAAGGTCCCGGGTTGCCTAAAATTGTCTCCTTTCACCTGCTTTCCTTCTCTCTTGCAATAATCTGTCGTTTGCTTTTGTCTCCACTTTCTGCACCCTCCCCCTCATCTCAAGGGGTACTATTACTCAGCTCCTCCTCTGGGCTCCTAACTCTTTCTACAGTCTTTCTACTGCTACTCCTTGGCTCCTTCTTACAGCTGTCTTTCAGCCACACCCCTGATCTTCTGGTAGAAAAGATCTACATCTAGCCTTCTCGGACAAAGGAGAAAAATCTCGGAGGGCCAGTGTGCAAGTTGCGCACATTAAAGATCCGTTGGTGGTCTAAAATCGATAAGAGTAGGCTTCGACTGCCACCAGGGCAAAATTCAAAATGTCCTACCAACTGAATATGTTGAATGTGTCCCGCGCGCTCATATAACCTTATGCAGTTGCGAGCACCGTAAAACACTTTACCAAAAAAATGAAATCTTTTAGCATTTTTTTTTTACCTATTTGTGTTGAGAGTGCTGCAAAGCTTTTTTTCTTTACAATGGATTCTTGGGCATGTCAATTATAGGTAAGCATTTTGTCATACGCTCAAAGTGGATTCTAGGGTGGACTTGATTTTTTACAGTTTTCTTGATGGAGACCATTGTAAGTAAAGATTTTATCTTGGTGGAGTCAGAAATACAAGGAAAGCTTTCTTAGAATTTCGTGTGAGATATTTTAATGATTTCCCCAGATGACCCCACCACAAAAACGCAGCCACAACCAACTCTTGCCCAAGCCAGAGCCTAGCCCTGATGGTGCTGATTATATTGGTCAACACTCTCAAGGCATCGGAGGACACTACCAGGACAGCTTCAAGCGCCCACGTCTCTACTAAGATTCTCAAACCTGTCCCATTGTTTGTGTTTAAGACCCATGTTCAGGTGCAGCCGTTTTGCTCTGAATGTTTTTATTGGATGTCCCGTTCTGTTTTCATGGTAGCAAATTAGTGAAAAGGGAGGAGAGTTTGTTTGTAAGAGTATTACAGTAACAATGGGGTTGGGTTTAAGGGGTGGGGGGAGGGAACTGTGTGGTTTTAACAATTCCAATCTTGTTGTCAACTGTTTTACAGTATTTTTTAACACTGAATGTTATGCATGATGCCCTTATTCCAAGTGTTTTTTCCTATTTGAGGAGATGATTATATCCGAGTCATTGCAAGAAGAGTACTCTGTTGCACACATCGTCAGAAAGCCAACTCGCAATGATGGGCGAGTTAGTTGTGAATGTGAGTTGGATAAAGTGAAAAGAGAAGGTTTTCCCGACTTACTTCTGCTCTAACAATGATGTTGACCACTTTTGACTTCTTTTTTTTAGTAGTTTGAGTGCGGTTTGTTTTTTTGGTAGCTTGAGTGCTTTGGTTCATGTTACAAGAGTGCTTAGCTTGTTCCCTTCTAATAAATTTTGTTCAGAAATTTTTGAAGAGATGTTCATTTGTGCTTGTAGTATCACACCACTCATTTTAATTAATCTTATTTCGTTACCTTCTGTTTTATTGTAATGTCAATGGCAAACTTTACTTTGGATGGGTAGTTGCATCAATGACCTTTGGGGCGGTTTTTATGGAAAGATAGCTTACTTCTTTCTTGAATTATTTTAGCATTTCTTGTCGCTTTCATCAAGAGATATAGTAGCTGGTATAAGGAATGTCATTCTTTCTTCCTGAAGAAAACTGTCTGCTTTTGTGTGAATGCTATTTATTTCTGTCTCCTCCTCTTTTACTAGATTTGTTGTCATTTTCATATACTTTTCATAGTTTTCCATCCCCCAACAGACGTGCAAAACTTTTCTCAGGTGTCGCGGAAAGTTTTCCTCTTTCTCCTTTTTATTCTCTTACTCTCTGTCTCTCTCTTTATGTCCATCTGCAGTGGACTCCTGGTTGCATCCTGTTTTCACGAAGAATTTGTGGTTCATCATTCTGTTCAAAATTAAAAACGTAAACATGCATTTAATTTCTCAGAATAAGATTTTTGAAAGAAATGAAAACATTGTGTCAAAAAAGAAATTGTTGCTATGCGACATTAAATCACTGGCATTTTTATTGTACGTTGCTGTTTCGTAGTTTTTCTGTTTGAAGGTACTGAAATAGAAATTGAGAACACGCTTGAAATACATAACTGCAACAGTTATGCCATGGATCACATTTTTATTCCCAAGTTTGAGTTGCATCTGTGAAATTTCCCTCCTTTTTTGTCATTTGGTTTTTATTTGTTGATCATCACTTCAATAAGCAACTGATTACTATCTTTTGATTTCCCCGCTTTTATTTTAATTGTGAATGGTGAATTAATTTAGGGACAATACATAAAGTTTTTCATTTATGTCAGTTCAAAATGAGATGTACTGGAAAATGATCTTCTTCAAGCCGTGGTCATATCAGGGTCTGAAGTTGCTTTTGTGTTAATAAAAGAAATTGTAAGTATAGAATTTGTTTTTGTCTTTACTTTATTCTTCTCTCTATACAGAAATAGAGCTACATAGTTTAAGTAATAAGATGTACCCATCTTGATTTTGAATGACGGAGTAGGAAGCCCGCCTTTTAAATGACCTATAGTCCTACTTCTTCACTATCCTTCTGTTGTTTCTGTCCGTCTTAGAGCTCCAACACAGTGCGTCCAGCATCAGACCAGCAACAGCACAGCGTCTCAAGCATTTTGCTGGGTCTTTGCTGTGCTGGTGTCGTGCTGTATGACATAGTGTAGTGTACCGGTCACTGTTCCAGCGTGTTGTGTGTAGTACGGAATTCGAATTGAAACATGGCAGCTGAAATATTAACAATTTTATATCGTTTGAAAAAAAGACGTCATACTAGAAGAAGGTTTTGGGTTCATAGCATCCATCAACGAAGAGAAACTTCGGCGAATTCCATCATCTTGTAGATGAAGTTTTAAGTGATGAGGAGAAATGCCTATCATACATTCGGATGAAACCAAGTACTTTTTACATGCTTCTGGAATTGATTGGACCCCATATTGCAAATAGAGAGACAAATTTTCGAAAACCGATCCCTGCTAAAGAACGGCTTGTGATAACTTTGTTTTTTGTTAGTGTTTTACGGCGCTCGCAACTGCATAAGGTCATATGAGCGCGCAGGAAATTTAGAATTTTGCCCGGGTGGCGGCCGAAGCCTACTCTTATCGATTTTAGACCACCAAGGGATCTTTAACTTGCACACGGGCCCTCCGAGATTTTTCGCCCTTGTCCGAGAAGGCTAGGTGTAGATCTTTTCTACCAGAAGATCAGGGGTGTGGCTGAAAGACAGCAGTAAGAAGAAGCCAATGAGTAGCAGTAGAAAGGCTGCAGAAAGAATGAGGAGCCCAGAGGAGGGGGCAAAGGAGGTGAAGGGGTGGGGGGGGGGGGGCAGAAAGAGGAGACGACAGAACATTGCTAGAGAGTAGGAAAGGAGGTGAAAGGAGACAAATTTAGAGAAGAAAATATTTTGGTCGCTACTCTGATTCGAACCCGGGACCTTTGAATGAGAGGCGAGCACCTTAACCTCTAGGCCACGAGAGCCCCCTTGTGATAACTTTGAGGTAAGAACAATTCAAATATAAATAATTAATATATAGCGCTTTTCCCGGCCCATATATTAGCTCAGAGCGTTTTACAATACTACTCCTGACGGACAACGCACATATGACATTTAGGACACCACATGCAGCCAGTTAGGCGCTTTTACAATCATTTTTTTGACAAGGACAACACGCATTACCACGATTCGGTTTCGTCGTCATCGAGGCTCAAACCCACGACCCCCCGGTCCACGGACCGACGCTCTGACCACTCGGCCACCAACGCTCATAAGTTTATAACTTATGCTATTTATCATTACTAATTGCTAAATTATTTGAAAGCCTTCTTAAAGTCATGAATGGTAGAATTTCATTGAGCATGATTGGCTTCATTTACCAAACTAAGGACATTTGTTTTTGTGTATTTCGTTATAACGAAGAAAATGACACAATGTAGACATATTAGGGGCCGTTCACAAAACATGTGGATAAATTTTGACCATTTTGCCCCCCCCCCCCCCCCCCTTTGCAGGTGTGGACAAATGACACCCCCTCCCCTTCCACACACACACACACCCCACTAGCTGTCCATATGGTTTGTGAACGCCCCCTTACATGAATTTGATTGATTCCACAAAGCTTTTAATTTTTATCTTTTTCTTTTTATCTATTTCATTTTTTAATCAACACATACACACACTTGTTCACTGAAACTAAGACAATGTGCAATGGGAAAAACTTGATGTAATTTATTTGTATTGGTGGTACTGGTGATACTGGTATGGGTCGCCTGGTGAGGAGGAAATTGGATCAACTTGTGAGCCTGCAGTTGCTGGGACATACTGGTTGTATTGGTACGTGTTGTTATCGGCAAAAGCTGAAGAAGATGCGGGTGATGCGGTTGGAGTAAGAGATAATGCATCGTTGCTTTCATACTGTGGTGATGGCTGTCTCGAACGCCGCAGATATCTTAGAGCTGTATTGTTGAGCTCTCCACGGAACTCAAATTTAGATATTGGGTCCAACCCTTTCATCACCGGTAACAAACTCAACAGGAACTGTTCGTCATCGTCCTGGGGTGGTTTTTGTGTCTGTTGTTGTTGCAACCCTTTAAGAGATTCTAGAATTGCAATGTCGAAAGCGGATGGAGAGGTAGATCTAGATCCTCGGTCTTGGGGATACGGGGGTTACGGTCTTTTCCTGGCATGCCGTTTGGGAGTAGCAGATGAGTTTGTAATATCTGGAGTATGGCTTGGACCAGGTTGTGGATTTGTGAATGGACTTCCACCCAGTGAAAACACATCAGTGTTGACTATTGTCTCCACGTTATCCTCCCGAAGCTGGGATGCTTGTTGGAGTTCCTGCTCATCTTCCGGCCCTTCAATCAAATTGGTTGTTGAGGTATTTCCATCCTCAATAAAAGGAATTAAAAACAGCATGGCTTTGTACAGGTACCACGGTTTCTGGTATTTACCCCCTGATCCAGATTTATAAGTTGTTTCTTTCTTATGTTGCCTCCGGAAAGAATCCCTCAGCATTGCCCATTTCTCTTTCTTGCAGTTGCACCTGTTGGGATGGTAATACATGTATATATTATAATATACCAGTAGACAGCAATAACTGTGCTTCACAACTTTGTTCTAATACAAGAACCCTTTCGTGTATCGCCGTGTGATTCAATGGGTGAGCAGATTCAAACCCCAAATACTCTTTCAGGCTTTCAAGGATCCAACATCAATGGAAACGTTCGATTTACAAAAAATGCCTCGAAAGTGTGAGAAACATTGATGAACTATGTCACATCCCCTACTGGAACTCTTCCATGGCAAAATGATCAATGTGTTACCAGATAAATCTCATGGTGAAATATAACCTTCTTTTGATTATTATTATTATTATTATTATTATTATTATTATTATTATTATTATTAAGAATAATAAGTCCGATGATTATTATTATTATTGTTTTGAGTCAAACAACAATGTTGAACATCGTTAGCTCAAGTGGTAGAACGTTCGCTTGCGATGTGGGAAGTGTAGGTTCGAATTCCAGCTGGGTCAATCCAAAGCACTCTGGGCTGGTACTTTTTCCCTTGTCGCAAGACAATTTATACAGGGCTACTGATGAGGTCTCAATGGCCGAAACTGGATCCAGTATAGTCCAATATTATTATTATTTTTATTATTATTATTATTATTATTATTATTATTATTATTATTATTATTATTATTATTACTATTATCATCACTATTATTATTATTATTAGAGAGAGAGAGAGGGGAGAGAGAGAGAGGGAGGGGAGAGAGGGACATAGAGAGAGAGAGAGAGAGAGAGAGAGAGAGAGAGAGAGAGAGAGAGAGAGAGAGAGAGAGGGGGGGGGTTTTAACCTCGATAATTGAATTAGATAAGATTTTAATAAATATTATTACTCACCATCAATTCCAACTTCCTCTCCGACTTCAATCCATTGTTGGTTTATTACAACTCTATTTGAATAATTCTCATTACTTTTGTCAAATAGGACTTCTCTTTTTCTCACTGCTTCAATCAATGCTTCTGCCTCCATCTTGCTTGTCTGGTCCGTGCTGGTTGAATTTTAGTGTCGCACTAAAATGAAATTACCAGCAAAACGACGGGCGAACGCTGGATTCATGCAGGGTTCACGCTGGTCGGACAAAACGGCGCCACTCCGTTAGGCGTAGTGCTATCTATATTACCTAAGATTTTGACCCGTCGTTTTGCTGTTGCTGTGCTGTTGCTGGTCTGATGCTGGACGCACTGTGTTGGAGCTCTTACTTACAGCACTAAATGACCATTATTTTGTTGATGTGCTAATATTTCCAATGAACGAACAAGCTGCCTTGCACTTGTTTTGTTTGCTTTTTATTTATGTAGTTGAAGTAATTCATTTCAGGGTCCATGTGGAGAAAAAAATCACATTGTCACAGAACTCGATGGATGAGACGGTGGCATATTTTTGCGCACAGCCGCCCTGTTTATTGAACTGTCTTCACAATTGATGTCACACAGCAATAGTAAAATGTGGACTGTCTGTGAAAGATCGGACTAGTCGAAAGGGGGAGGGTTCCTCCATTTTATTTCTTTATTAATAAAAAGTAGAAAAAATACTACTTATTCATTGAACACTCACTCCGTACAGGCAACCCCGAACCCTGTTAAAGAGCCCACAGCCTACTGAAATGGTACGTCTGGCCACAATTATGCAAGTAAAAAAGTGTATGGGTTTAGTTTAATGCCCCTATCAACACTTTAGTTAATTAAGAGATGGGATCTTCGAGCCTGATGGGTTGAGAGCTAAGAAAACTTCACAAAACAACCAAGAATGCCCAGTTCGGGATTCAAACCAGGGCCATCGGCACAGTGATCCAGCATAATACACGTACCAACTGAGCTAATGACAATTTCGTCGAAAGCATTTCCTCAAAGCCGTATATTCCTCATCCTTACTATCGGATCGTCAATTTCCTCTACTTCTTTTGTATGTTTGTCACTTGCTTGTGACTCGTTATTTCCGAGGTCGAGGTGCCTGAAGCTTGAGAGGTGAGCAGAGTACGCCTGATTCTCTGTAAGGACTTCTCTGTTGACATCCACCCCTGGGCGCTCATATGACTTTATGCAGTTGCGAGCGCTGTAAAACCTCTACTAAAACTAACCAAAACCCCTATATGTTTTTGCGCTTGTTTTAACCCTAATCAATAAATTGTTCGAGGTCCATATTATTAATATTTTATTGAGGAAAAAATAATGAGACTCTGAAGATGAAGAATATGAGGGACGAATGATGGTTAAATTTTTCAAATCTTTGACTTCAACATTCAAAGGCAATACAAGCGTATCTCCAGTTCTCTAGCTGATACAATCACAACAAAAAGTAACCACCTGTAGTAAAGGTGTTTTTTTGCCCTCTATAACCATGTATTCAAAGTACCCCCAACACAAATTATAATTGGGCGCTTTTATTAAGGACGAGCGGGCTAACCCAGATTTCGGGGGTTTCCAGAAATCTTGACCCAAACCAAAAGTGGGCATTGCCCTACCTAGGACAAGTTTGGTTTCATTGGTGTGTATTTGTTTGGTTATAGTTAGTGGAATACTCTCTATTGTCTTGTTAGAAACTGAACAAGGGGTAAAACTTAATCTTCGATTTTCTCAAAACAGCTTTTTTGGGATAGCCCCCTTGTGTTTAAAAAAAGCGACCAATTATGGAATCAAAATAACACAGTAAAGTAGGCCTACCACCAAAATTCCGACTGAATCTGCCCTTCACAATTTATTATTCTATGGGTGAGAAGATGGCGTCAAATTTTGCGCGCAGCCACCGTCCGCTGAACTGCCCGCTATAGACCTTCGCAGGAGGCATTCACTTAGTGACGTGATCAGAATTTGCCGAGAATCGTATTACAATTCACTGTGGAGCTTTCAAAAATTGCTATAGAAAAGAAAAGTCGATCTGTAGCCTGTTACTGTTATTGAAGTGGATCACTGGAAAGCCCCACACTACATTTCATCATTTGTTACTTCTTCACTTTCCGTTATTGTGTCGATGTAGATCTACTTCTCTTTTTTTTGTTTGTTTTTGTAAAGTGTTTTACGGCGCTCGCAACTGCATAAGGTCATATGAGCGCGCGGGACACACCTAGTATTTTCAGTTGGTAGGAAATTTTGAATTTTGCCCGGGTGGCGGCCGAAGCCTACTCTTATCGATTTTAGACCACCAAGGGATCTTTAACGTGCGCAACTTGCACACGGGCCCTCCGAGATTTTTCGCCCTTGTCAGAGAAGGCTAGGTGTAGATCTTTCCTACCAGAAGATCAGGGGTGTGGCAGAAAGACAGCAGTAAGTAGGAGCCAAGGAGTAACAGTAGAAAGGCTGCAGAAAGAGTCAGGAGCCCAGAGGAGGGGGCAAAGGGGGTGGGGGCAGACAGAGGAAATGAAAGCAGACGACAGAACATTGCTAGAGAGCAGGAAAGGAGGTGAAAGGAGACAATTTTAGAGAAGAAAATTTTTTGGTCGCTACCCGGATTCGAACCCGGGACCTTTGAATGAGAGGCCAACACCTTAACCTCTAGACCACGAGAGCCCCCATCTACTTCTCATTACTCAAAGATGGCTTTTTTTTTTGGTAAGTGTTTTATGGCGGTCACAACTGCATAAGGTCATATGAGCGCACTGGACACACCTAAATATTTTCAGTTGGTAGGAAATTTTGAATTTTGCCCAGGTGGTGACCCTAGCCTACTCATAGATTTTAGACCACCAAGGGATCTTTAACAGGCGCAACTTGCACACAGGACCTCCGGGATTTTTTCACCCTTGTCCGAGAAGGCTAGGTGTGGATCTTTCCTATCAGGAGATTAGGGGTGTGGCTGAAAGACCACAGTAAGAAGGAACCAAGGAGAAGCAGTAGAAAGGCTGCAGAAAGAGTCGGGAGCCCAGACGATGGAGCAAAGGAGGTGAGCGAGTGGGGGCAGAAAATGGAGACAAAAGCAGACGATAGACCATTGGTAGAGAGAGCAGGAAAGGAGACAATTTAAAGAGAAAATTTTTTTGGGTCGCTACCCGGATTCGAACCCGAGACCTTTGAATGAGAGGCGAACACCTTAACCTCTAGGCCACGAGAGGCCCCATTCAAAGTTTACTCAAACTAACAAAGGACAATACAATGTATGCACATCGTAACTCAACATGTATATATATGGCTATATGTACTATACATGATATGAGAAATAACTATCATGTACTCTACGTCTTAGTCTTACGTACATGAACTAGTACATGATTTCAGTAGACAAATACATGTACATGTATATTATGAAAAGGTATAAATATATTTTCCATGGTGCGCCTTCCTCAAGTTGACAAATAGATTTAACTTTAACATCACACTTAAGATGTACAGTGAGCAGTCATTGCTCAATGGCAAAGATGCCCATTATTTACGAACATAATTTAATTAGATCTTTCGCTGGGAGTACTGGGAGGGTAACTATTGTAGGTCGTGCATGTTGTCTTCACGTTCACGATTATATGGGTTGTACAGAAAATTGTGGTGTTGAATACATGTTGTAGTAAGAAATTTGAGCGTCACTGAAGAAAGCATGTTTTTTGGTGTCGTTTTTTTTTCTCGATAGAGTTGTTAGACCATACATCAAATTCCTATAATGTAATGCTTCTCGTGAAGGCTCTATGAACGAAGCGCTCTCGGTTCCTATATCTCTTCCCCATGAAATTGCTGCCTTATAATTCATAATAATTTTTGCTGCTATGACTATGAGGTAGAGACCAGTTTATTAATATTATGATGTAGAGATCTAATCACGAGTAACAGAACACACCTGTGAGATCCTAAAGTAGGCTACCGTCACATCATAGACGTAAAATTCATTTCTTTTTGCGACTGAAAAACATCACGACAGTCTTCATAGTCGTCTGAGACGGAGCTTATCGATTCAACCGAACCACATAGATCTAACTCTAACGATTTGGACGCTGATCCAGATTCTTCGTCCTCTTTGTCCAGAATGTTTGTGAAAGTTTCCTTGTAGCTCTCTTCGGAAGAAGAATAGTTGGAAACTTCCTGTTCATGGAGTGTTGGTAAAATGACGAACTCGCCGGACCATGTGTGTGATTTACGGATAGTTGTGTGGACTTTTAAGTAGTCTGGTGACGTCATTGACTTTCCAGAAGGGGAATTTTTCAGGGAGTTCTTCGAACGGACGCCGAAATGAAGAGAGGTGATGAGCTTGTTGATTGTCCTCTGTGTTTTCCTGTTGGATAGAAACAGGACACGAATAGTAGTGGTACAAATCATCATCATCATCATCATCATCATCATCATCATCATCATCATCATCATCATCATCATCATCATCATCATCATCATCATCATCATCCTTG